CTGTTGGCTTATCATCAATGGCGAAACAACAACTGAAAGAGATATCAGTGCTGAAGCTTCTCAAGGAGCAGAGTGGCTCTGAGGAAGGGCAATGTGGAAGTCCTTCAGGAAACAGGACCTTCTGCTCACTTGTACACATCTGAAGTGTTAGCAAGAAGGAAGATGCAATTTCCAGCATTGTTCTTGTGTTAAAAACAAATATAGCTAGTCTGCACAGTTATATTTGTGGGTAATGAATCACACTTCTATATTCATAAGTGTTTTTAAAGAGGCAAATTGTCAAGGGGAATTTTGTAAAAAATAGAAAACTATAGGAACTGTCTCGGAGGGCCAAGCACAGAACATATGAAAAACCTTTACCATTAGATGATCTTTCTGCAGTGTGTCATACACCAGACGAATGTTGTAGCTGACAACATTAAAATATGTGGACTTCAATTCCCAGAATTCCACAACCAGCACGTTGGCAATCATATAATGTTTCTGAGATTCATTATTGGGTAAACTATTAATAAAGAATATCTATGTATATTCTCAGTCATCTAGGTCCCAAAGGTTGTGCCTTTTTCAAGAGGCAACTGGACTTTTTTTTTCTTGAAGACATTTTGCTTCTCATCTGAGTCCATCTTCTGCACAGAAAGGATCGCTGGTTTGAAAGAGGGGTCAAATAGGCCATCTATGTTAAAATCTAGCAGCCCTTTCTCAACAGAGGGGGAGGGATACGACATCTCCTATCTCCTACAACACAGTCCTTTCAGCTGTTCGAAGAAGATTCCACATTCATTTGCACTATTCAGGTGACCCTTAGGACACAGATAGCCTCCAAGTGGCCTCAATGACTCTCAGAGGGATTACTAATGATCAGATGACTGCAAGGAATATAAATCCTTCCATTCTCTATCATTCAGTCAGATCTAAGACGTTTCTCAGATGAGAAGTGAAACTTCTTCAAGGAAAGAAATAAAGAAAATCCAATTGCCTCTTGAAAAAGCATCTTTGGGATAGGGATGAAGATTGTGATCCCTCAGAAATCTTCAGATAGTGCAACAACATTCTTCCCACCTTTCTACTTTAAACAAAATGGGGTGAGGGTGGAGTTCTGATTTCACTGTGTTTTATCATGATTATGAGATGTGGCGTTGTTGGTCTTATTTAGCATGAAAGGTGAGGGAGCCCAAAATATGGTGGATGGTTTCTTTCAGTTTTTGAAACAAATGCAAACATGGACATCTATGTTGGAGGGAGAGAGTTAAAAACTCAAGTTCATGGCTAAAAACATGTGGCTAAAAGTCCATCAATGGTTATATGTCATGCAGTTTTTCATTTGCACAAAATGTCTTGAGTTTTTTTACTCTATTCCATAGATGCAAGTGAATGCTAAGGATTCACTGTGCCATGAGAAAGCCAAACAAACAAAGAAAAAAATCCTAAATAGATAGATAGATAGATAGATAGATAGATAGATAGATAGATAGATAGATAGATAGATAGATAGATAGATAGATAGATAGAAAAAAATATAACACAACATGAGTTCTATTCCTTACCTATATTTTTCATGGAGGAGTGAGGGTGAAATTTCAGCCAGGTCTGAAGATTTGACATTGAGTCACCATTGTATCTCCATCATAGTGGACTGGCCTTCTTCCCTCACAAGCTGTGATGGGATAAACAGTTTATCTTTAGTTACAAGGCCATTGGAGTGAGTTGTCTTTCAAAGTACGGATGGTGACCCAAAAGGGATACCCACTGCATTGGATGAAGTTCTTCTGGTTTTCTTCCTTGTAGAACTATTATCATTTGCTCCCACCTTTGTATCATGGTACTAAAGCATCTTTCAATCTTGCAGGTGGTGACCCTAGGAAGGAGGCAATGGGAAACCGCTTCTGAAAAACTTGCCAAGAAAACTGCATGGATTTGCCCAGTAAGAATTGGACACAATTGAACAATGGAAAAAAGTAGCATTATAGAACAATATCTTTTTTTCTTAGAATGCAATCTCTCTCTCTCTCTCTCTCTCACACACACACACACACACACACACACACACATACACACATCTGGACATTTTGGAGTGCTCTTCTAAAAGGGTTTTGCTTTCTTGGCCTTCATCTTTATTTAGAAGTACAAGTGGCTTACAATAAATACATGCACATTTGGATTTCCAATGTGATTGGTAATTATTTATTTTATATGAAGAGGAGAAAGAGAAAGACAGAGAACACAAAAGGGTGGAGTTTCCAACAGCACAAGCCAATGGTGCTTTCACAGTTTTCCCTCAACCCCTATGGACAACTCTAACTTTGAATACATTCATATCATGTTATAGAGATATATATCATTAACATTTATACTAGATTTCTGTATAGGAAAATGATTGAGAAATGAAGAATCTAAGGGGAAAAATTAATTCAGTTTTCCAAACAGTCATTTGGTTGCTAATTCCAATAATAAAAAAGTTGTTTATTTATAGAAAATAACCTTAATTCTTCAGTCATGATAGATGATGGAGAAAATGCATCTTTTATATCTACTCTGACAAAAGGGCACAGCTAGGTCTACTTCTCCAGATTATATTTATTCCATTACCATCAACTGTGGCAGGACAGAGGCAGAGTTGGCATCAGTTTGGATCAGAGGGGTGAAAAAATCACCAGGACCCAGTTTAGGCACTGCCACCATGTGCATTTCTCCAGAATGCATATAAAATGATGTTACATCTTAAGGTTCTAACCTTCTGAGCAAACCTAGGGAGGAAAAAGATAGTGGGAACAGGAGTAAGAATTTGGAGCACAATAGAAACATTTGTTGTGCTTTTAGCCTGAAATTCCTTCTAAACCCAGATGTGAAAGAAGTTAGGATGTTGCCCTAATGTGCACCATAGAATTCTCTAATTAAATCTAGCTTTCCCAAATTTTTCTCGTTAGTGTAAACCTACCTAAAGCTACCTAACACCCCCTGTAACCTAGTTAATCATATCTAAACCTAAACCTCCCTG